TATTTATAGAACATCCAAAGAGCCAATTGTGCGATGTGCTTGCAGGCACGTGAATTCTCTGAATTGGTCAATAAATAAATAAAAAGATGGTTTGATAGCGTTTGTATGCTCCAGCGGCAGTTTACATTTTTGAGAAATTGTCTTTCGTGCAGTCATAAAAGTAAAAAAAAAAAAAATCCATTTGGAATGCTTTATCTGTTGAATGTCAGCTTTAAAACAACATAACAACCAAAGCTTCTTTGCAATTGCACTCACATGGAGCAATTTCACAGAGAAATAGGGCACGGGTGCTAATGGACAAGAGTGCGGTTGTCTTTCTGTACCTCACATATATCTAAGCTAATTGTAAGCTTTTTCCCTTAAAAAGCCTGAGGACCACCAACCATCTATTCGATCTCAGGGAACATTCCCCAGGGCAAATTATGGTGTCGGGGGAAAAAAAAACGACTGAGCTGGAAGTGCAGGGACAAGACGATGTACAGGAGATAAGTGGATCTGATGGGCTATTAAGTGCCTTCTCTGAGGCACACAACAAAACACCTGTCAAGAAGCGTGCAGACTTTTGCAGAGACTGCTGCTAGGAATGTGACATAAAGACAGTAAGACTTGTCTGCCATTGATATTTTACGCAGAGCAGATTCTTGTAGGAATAGCTGGTATTATTTTCTCTCTTTCTCAGCTGTTTTTGGAAACGAATAATTCCTTCTGTCTGCTGTCCTAATTTCCCATGTTTGTCTTTCAAGAAGCCAAGAGAGAGCGTGTGTCAATTTCAGATTTTTCCAATGGGGCAGTTTCAATTGCGTCCTTCCAACTTTGCGTGGTAACAGGTGGACAAATGCGATGTAAACAAAGAAAATAGTCCTAGTGATCCTTTCACTAATTAAATGTCACTTACAATCGTTTATAATGAGTCAGTTTTAAATGTATCTGTTAAGTCAGTTTATTTAGTCAATGTGGAGAAGACACAATTATTTCAAGGTCAGTCCTTGTGCTCAGTTTTTTTTTCTCTCTCTCATCACAGGAAGACAACTTAGTGACACGGCTGATATTTTATTTCTGTAACCGAACCAGCCAGCCTACTCGTTTCGTCCCTTTGAAAGAGATACCTTTCAAATGGGCAAAACAATCAGTGCACTATGCATGCATAAGGCATTTTTTTCCATACACAGAGATGGAAAAATGAGGTTAATATGGAATCGAAAGAATAGAGAAGGAAGATTTCAGCCAGCAAACCAGTTATTGAACATCTTGTCAGGTGCCCCGGTGATGCTGGCTTTGAACACTTTGCATCATAATACGAGACACAACACGCAAAGGAAGGGCTTTCAAAGACTTCGCCCCAGTTTACACGCCAATTAAGTGCCGTCGCCTCATTAATTACAATACTGTAGCTATAAATGCGACAAAATGCTGCACTGTGTTAATCGTGCCAGTTGACAGTCTGCATTTTTGCAGGGTTTTTTTTTTTTTTTAGCCCCAAAAAAAAAAACTGCATTTCCATGGTGTTTTCAGAAGGCACTTTGCGTCTGTCATGATGTCCAAACGGGCAAACCGTCCTCCACGGGTGAGAAAATTTCCTCCGAGAGGTTGTCCAAAAAGCACAGCACAAAAGCGTGACGGTGCCCGGGTCACTCTCCTGTCCACATGCGCGTCCCCGAGCGTCCAAGAAGTGAAAGTGTGAATTTCGTACCGCCTCGTCTAACACAACGAGCCCGGCGGTGTCAGCTGCACTTGTGACGTTCTTCTACCATCGCGCTAAGGTGCGCACGCGAGAAAGCCACGCACACGCGCCTTCGGGCACGCGTCACGTTTCCAACCGTGCGCGCGCACCTTGGCGCACGCGAGTTGCTGAAAGACCTCGAGCCGCGTCATGGATGACCTTTAAATGAATCGTTTGCAAAGACTAGCGGACCGTGATGAGTTTGATGAGTCACGTTGAAGGATTCGCAACAATAAATTAGATACCTTATGCAGATGACTTGTACGCTCTTGTTTATTCAATGAATGTGGGTTGCCTCGAACCACCAACATTTGACATCTGCGGAAAAAAATCAATAGATAGCCTTTTCATTACACTTTTTTTCCCCACAACAGAACCGCATTAGAGCTCTTCTCTTTTCTTTTGATCTCATGAACTTATAAGACGGGGAAACAAGGGAGTGCGGTGACATGGAAGAAGGTGACAGGCAGCAACAATAATGATGACGAAACAGAATCGGAGAAGCAAGCTATTCCCCATCTACAGCCTTATTTAAGATATGTTTTGATGTAGTCAATTTAGAAGAATGGTTTGTGGAAAATGCATTGTCCTTTCCCAGCCTGGAAAAAAAAAACCACACTGGATTCTTCTTTCAGCTGTTGTCATTGTAGGTAATCTTGCAATTGAGCATTTTGGTGACATTGCTTTGTTTTCCTCATGCAGGATCCGTTAGTTCAGTCTCAAATAACCTGCCAAAATGTAGCTTGTGGCAAAGCTGTGTCCAGCATTATTACCTGAACACCATGCGACTTAGTAAAAGAGGACAGTTATCATGTGTGCAAGCAAAGGTCTTCTTTCGCTGTGCCAAATTATCCAAGTATTGTACATAATTGCGTTAAAAATTCAATTGTATTTTTTTACTTGTGTAGTTTCAGAGTCTGTACATTTTACTTGTAATTGTTCATAGAAGATGAATCAGTAATTCAACTTTTTTTTTCCAATGTATTTCTATTTCAGTCCAGCGTGTGAGTACTTTTGCCAGCTCTCGAGGTTTGGGGTTTGAATCTCGGCTCCTGTGTGGAGTTTGCATGTTTTCCCCCTTTTTTTTTGGTGGCTTTTCTCTGATTGCTCTGGCTTCCTCCCTCATCCCAAAAACATGCACAATGAAGATATTGAATCTGCAGTGTTCTCAAACTCAAACAAAGCCGTGTAGTAAACGGGTGCATGCTCCGCACCATGACGTTGTGACAAAGTACAACATTAAAACTTAATCAAGTGTAACTGTGTTCGCTGTATGTCAAAGAAATGAAAGTGAAATGAATCTAAACCCATATTTCTGAAGCAAACTTCTGGTGGTTGCCAATAACAAGCAAATGGCCTTATTTCCTTGCAGAATACAGTAGAACAAAGCCACACTTCTTTTGGTTGCATAATGGCTGCAGGTGCGGCATAAAAATGGAAAAAGGAAATGTTCGTCACAATCACTTCAAGCTGTCAGTGAGGCTAGACAAAGTAATGTCAAAGTTTTCTGCAGTGTCTGTGGTTAGGCACAATTTCCCTCCTCGGTCCATTAGCGAGGCCAATAAGAAAAAAAAAAAAAAAAAAAACGCGAGCGAGAATTGCTGTGACTTTCAGTTTTCCATTTCTGTGACAGAAATTATAGAAAAAAATAGTTATTCAGAATGAAAAGGTAGAGACAGCAGGGTTTTGTGCTTGTGTGTGCGTTGTGAGTGGATAAGGTTTGAATTGATTAGTCAACCAGTCAATAGGTCGACTTCACTACTCCTAATGAATATTTAGTGCTTGAAGTCGACTCATCGCCACAAAAGTGTTTTGGGCATTTCATCTTTCAGTCGGCCAATTCATGGAGGACGGGTTTTAAAGATGGGCACAGTGATGGGGGCTTGCCAATACACCGCAGTGCACATCCTCTCGAAATCAATCTCACGGGTTCGGTCTGCAGATTGTAGAGCATGCGGATAGTGGCATAGATTGGAGTATGGCGATTACAAGATGTCACGGTTTGTTTTGTTTGACGTTGACTCCGAGTTTTTGACTGACACACTGCTGCTGTGTTTTTTTTTCGTTTCGTTTAGAAAGAATATGGATGGCTGACATGTTATTTATCCGGATATGACTTCCCAAAGGGTGAATGTCGAATGCCACGGATAACAGATGTGAATGAGAGTTCCACTGACAGGTGTTGAAGTGCTAATCTTTCTGCCCACACTAGTAGCTGTAGGTGTCCTTGTTTCTGGCAAAAAAAAAAAAAAGCTCGGCGTGATGCTTTTGTTTTCAGCACCCGAGTTGGAAACACAACAGCAAAAGATATGAAGGCTCCAAACTGCCAGAAACTTAAGAGTTGCATAGCAACAGTGACTCTTCTCTTCTTATGCTATTCTCAAACAGACAACAGACAAATAAATAATTGTGGATAATTACAGTGCTAATTGCCTTTTGGTGGTGATTTATGTTCAGCCAGTATGAACATATGAACACACACACATTTTTCCCATTTATCTTTTTCCCCCTCTTAATCCTGTCCTTCCTCTCATCACCCTTTTTTTTTTTTTGGCACTCTACGCTTCTTAATCCAAAGGCTTTTCAGTGGCGAGAACTAATCCATTGCACACTTTCTCGAAATAAAAGATGGAAGGACAATTACAGTGGAGATGAAAAGCCAGAACATCTGAGAGCGCTGGCGATTTTAAAAAAGGAAACCAAACAAGCGAGAATCAGCAGTAAAGTGGAGCTCACAGTGAACGTCTCGTCATTGTCAGACTATTTTTAAATGATTGTATGCAAATCAGAAAAGCCATCACGTGGAAGCAGAAAAGTCAGACAGACCAAAGGATGCACTCACTATTCTGAGCCGTTGTGTCATGACAAAGATATTTATAGAACATCCAAAGAGCCAATTGTGCGATGTGCTTGCAGGCACGTGAATTCTCTGAATTGGTCAATAAATAAATAAAAAGATGGTTTGATAGCGTTTGTATGCTCCAGCGGCAGTTTACATTTTTGAGAAATTGTCTTTCGTGCAGTCATAAAAGTAACGTGCTGTTCAGTAAAAGTGGTTGTTTTTTTTTTCAATGATGCTACTTCTACTTTTATAATGTGACATCTTTTAATTTGTAAACACCATTCTGAGTCAGATACACTGTCAAAGACAATTGTCACTTAATTGTGACTGTTTTTACAGCCACAAATTACAATTTTTAAAAAAAAGGCAGCTGAAACCCAATTTCTTTGTCAAGGAAATATCAAACATGATAGAAGAATAATGGGGGTGGGTGGGGGGTCAATAGAGGTGCACTCCATCATCCTGGATGACACAGCCCAAGAGGACATTAAAAGCTTCTGCCATTTTGGGTTGAGTTAACTGATATTATAAACATGATATTGTTATCGATGAGTAAAATTGACTCTTGTTAAAAGTGTGACTTAGTTGGTCTGCCCAAAGCCAGTTCAAGTACTGTATAACAGAAATTCCCATCCGGCTCAGTGGTACTGTACCTGACTTGGAGTGGAATTTGCCACATCTATGTAATGGCCGATGGACTTAGCCAGGCTTCTACATTATGCTGCACTGTACAGTATATGTTGAATTTACCTGGGGCTTTAAAATGGGGCGGGGCTGCCACTGACAGGTGACCATTCACTTGACGTATTAAAAAAAATTTTAAATAAAAAAAAGGTATCGCAGTTTGGATGGATAGGAAATCACTCACTTCGTCGCCATCATAACCCCAATGGGTAAGCTACGTTTTCCTTTGTCAGATCTGTAGAATTATCTTTTGAGTTTGTATCATGCTTGCTTGCTTTGTTGTTTGCCTGCTTTGCTTTGCGTCCGTGGCGCTTCTTTCTCTTTGCTGCATCGCTTGAACGTTACTTGCTGATCGGAAATGCGACGGGGGAAGTTAAGAGCGGTGTCCATGTTCAGTTCTGTTTTGTTGGAGTGTTGCCACGTCGTGGTTGTCTGGCTGCATTGGAAAAGTTTGAATGACGATTTTGTGTTTCGGCTGGAGTTAGTCATGCCGGCGTTTTACTTCCGGTTGTGATTCCTGGATTTGTAGTCATTTTGTTCGGTTCCACTTGTCTGGTTTCTCATGATGTTTAGACTATGAATCTTGATGATATTATAAATAATGTGTATTACATTTTAAAACTTTACGAGAAATAATAATGACAACGATAATGCATTATACTAAAATGTGATAAAATCATGATTGATAATATTATGGTTGATAAAATTATTGTTAAGATGAAGCTATTGAGTTAGTGAATTCATGTCTATTATTTACATTGTGATACACGAAGATAGGTGCATTAATTTTTGATGTATTCATGCCTGCTTTTAGGTTTTTCTACCTGCGGTGTGCTTCAATAAATAATCAAAGAGTACATGCAGTAGCGAGTGATAATTTCATGCAGTGAAAAAACGGAAATGACTCAAATTTGTGCTCGAATATGCTCCTAACTCCGTCAAAGCTCCACTGATGGGGCATAGCTGAGAGCCCTGCATTCATCCTGTGACCTGCTTAGAAGATGCTCGATCACACCCTCAGTTGCTGCCCAAAAGCACCGGGAGACGATTGTATCATTGGCATCACGGCCACGTTCTGAAGACAGTCGCTGACTTTCTCTCTTCAGCCAAAGCCAAGCAGCAATAGAAACCAGCCAAGCATTTCAGCCCCTTTATCACTAATGATGGGACTGAGTAAACCACAAGATTGATCAAAAAACAGTATTTTCAAAAGTTTGGGAGTTCTTCAACTCATTTTTCAAAAAATAGATGGGTTATACACACACTCGAACCCAAACCGTTTGCCAAAAAGGGTGCACATGTTTCATCATTTACAGTCTGCTTCTCACCATGGTGCAGCTGGTCTCTGTGTTGTCGTCCAGCAGGCCCAGTCTGCACAGAGCTTTGTTATTCCTCAGCCAATAGTCTGATGAGTCCAGCACACCGTTACCGCACAGAACCTGTCACAAAATCGATCACCTTTGATGTACAACACATAGGTGGACAACAATGACCATTTTGAATAGTTTTCATTCAAATGTGTAACACGTGTTTTTTTTCCACATTCCAAATTAGAAATGTTTGTATTTGCACTTGTCTTATAGACATATATGTGTGTTGGCCACAGCTCATCAGAACTTGCAGCCCAATAATGAGACGGATATCAGGACATTCAAGCGGAAGGCAGTTCAGCTCGTGAGTTACAGGCAAGTATGCACAGTGAGTGTGATGGTAACTGCACAAAAATGTTCAGAGAAAGGTCAAATGAACCCAAACACACTGGAAATGGAAACTCAATTTAGCTTTCACCCCAGTCCAATGATCTATTCTGGCTGTGCTCCTCTCTCCCTGGAAGAGGGAGACGATACATCTATTGAGTTGACCTGAAGGCCCGGCGGTTGCGCTTATTGCGCTACCCCCAAAGGATGCAATGGAAAGGAGCCCCCAAACAGACCAACTGGCACAAAACTGGAATACACATTTCAAGAAGAATCCATGCAGCAGACAAAGAAAGGGCCCCACTGAGATGAGGATTGATTATTTTCCTCCATGACACTGTTTTTTCTTTCTTACCTTTTTACAAGCGCTGATGGTAGAGGCTACTGTGCTCTCTGTGCTGCTTCCGTCTACCTCCACAGATTCAGAGTCTTCAAACATGGCAGATGATTGGAAATTACTGTAAGACCCCCAAAAAAAAAATGTCAGAGCAAATTCTTGTCAAAATGTTGACTTGAGCAGTAAACTGCCTGCCACTTGTGTTCTAACTCACACTTCTCAAGCCAAGAAATGCAAGTTGGAGTCATATACAGTACTTTAAGAGTACTAACTGTCAGAACGCAGGTTACCGGGAATGGCATATGTGGGCCGCTTCCGTTGAGAAATTGGACAAGATATGATTGTTGATACGTTATTTTTAATGAACCAAGTGCCAGAAAACATATGAGATGATGTATCCTGATTTCAATGTAATCAGCGCTCATGACTCAAAAATAAGAAGAAGAAGAAAACAGCTCAAACCACGAATGGGAAGTATTTGCGTTTTGTTTTGTTTTTTTAGACCTTGTAACAGGTAACTGGCCCATGATGAGCACCAAATCTAAAAAGCGAGTGCAAGGAACTGAAAACCAAACAGCATTCCATTGTGTTTTCACTTGTGAAGGCAACACTTCATCACCAAGCCACCCAAAGTACTTTGCATTTGTAATTTGCCAATTACATTGAACCCCTATTTTTTTTAAATCCTTTTACCCATCCCGCATGCTTCAAACCCATTAAAACAAACTTCACCTGATTAAAACACACTCTTTAAGACACAGTCCAAACAAAAAAAAAATCGCTGCTATCATGTGTCTTTAAGAGGCAGGGGAGGGTGAGGTGGCGTGAAACTATGGTGGGTCTGCATGTGAATGTCTGGGTAGCTCTTGTAGGGTAAAAAAAAAAAAAATCCATTTGGAATGCTTTATCTGTTGAATGTCAGCTTTAAAACAACATAACAACCAAAGCTTCTTTGCAATTGCACTCACATGGAGCAATTTCACAGAGAAATAGGGCACGGGTGCTAATGGACAAGAGTGCGGTTGTCTTTCTGTACCTCACATATATCTAAGCTAATTGTAAGCTTTTTCCCTTAAAAAGCCTGAGGACCACCAACCATCTATTCGATCTCAGGGAACATTCCCCAGGGCAAATTATGGTGTCGGGGGAAAAAAAAACGACTGAGCTGGAAGTGCAGGGACAAGACGATGTACAGGAGATAAGTGGATCTGATGGGCTATTAAGTGCCTTCTCTGAGGCACACAACAAAACACCTGTCAAGAAGCGTGCAGACTTTTGCAGAGACTGCTGCTAGGAATGTGACATAAAGACAGTAAGACTTGTCTGCCATTGATATTTTACGCAGAGCAGATTCTTGTAGGAATAGCTGGTATTATTTTCTCTCTTTCTCAGCTGTTTTTGGAAACGAATAATTCCTTCTGTCTGCTGTCCTAATTTCCCATGTTTGTCTTTCAAGAAGCCAAGAGAGAGCGTGTGTCAATTTCAGATTTTTCCAATGGGGCAGTTTCAATTGCGTCCTTCCAACTTTGCGTGGTAACAGGTGGACAAATGCGATGTAAACAAAGAAAATAGTCCTAGTGATCCTTTCACTAATTAAATGTCACTTACAATCGTTTATAATGAGTCAGTTTTAAATGTATCTGTTAAGTCAGTTTATTTAGTCAATGTGGAGAAGACACAATTATTTCAAGGTCAGTCCTTGTGCTCAGTTTTTTTTTCTCTCTCTCATCACAGGAAGACAACTTAGTGACACGGCTGATATTTTATTTCTGTAACCGAACCAGCCAGCCTACTCGTTTCGTCCCTTTGAAAGAGATACCTTTCAAATGGGCAAAACAATCAGTGCACTATGCATGCATAAGGCATTTTTTTCCATACACAGAGATGGAAAAATGAGGTTAATATGGAATCGAAAGAATAGAGAAGGAAGATTTCAGCCAGCAAACCAGTTATTGAACATCTTGTCAGGTGCCCCGGTGATGCTGGCTTTGAACACTTTGCATCATAATACGAGACACAACACGCAAAGGAAGGGCTTTCAAAGACTTCGCCCCAGTTTACACGCCAATTAAGTGCCGTCGCCTCATTAATTACAATACTGTAGCTATAAATGCGACAAAATGCTGCACTGTGTTAATCGTGCCAGTTGACAGTCTGCATTTTTGCAGGGTTTTTTTTTTTTTTTGAGCCCAAGAAAAACAATCTGCATTACCATGGTGTTTTCAGAAGGCACTTTGCGTCTGTCATGATGTCCAAACGGGCAAACCGTCCTCCACGGGTGAGAAAATTTCCTCCGAGAGGTTGTCCAAAAAGCACAGCACAAAAGCGTGACGGTGCCCGGGTCACTCTCCTGTCCACATGCGCGTCCCCGAGCGTCCAAGAAGTGAAAGTGTGAATTTCGTACCGCCTCGTCTAACACAACGAGCCCGGCGGTGTCAGCTGCACTTGTGACGTTCTTCTACCATCGCGCTAAGGTGCGCACGCGAGAAAGCCACGCACACGCGCCTTCGGGCACGCGTCACGGTTCCAACCGTGCGCGCGCACCTTGGCGCACGCGAGTTGCTGAAAGACCTCGAGCCGCGTCATGGATGACCTTTAAATGAATCGTTTGCAAAGACTAGCGGACCGTGATGAGTTTGATGAGTCACGTTGAAGGATTCGCAACAATAAATTAGATACCTTATGCAGATGACTTGTACGCTCTTGTTTATTCAATGAATGTGGGTTGCCTCGAACCACCAACATTTGACATCTGCGGAAAAAAATCAATAGATAGCCTTTTCATTACACTTTTTTTCCCCACAACAGAACCGCATTAGAGCTCTTCTCTTTTCTTTTGATCTCATGAACTTATAAGACGGGGAAACAAGGGAGTGCGGTGACATGGAAGAAGGTGACAGGCAGCAACAATAATGATGACGAAACAGAATCGGAGAAGCAAGCTATTCCCCATCTACAGCCTTATTTAAGATATGTTTTGATGTAGTCAATTTAGAAGAATGGTTTGTGGAAAATGCATTGTCCTTTCCCAGCCTGGAAAAAAAAAACCACACTGGATTCTTCTTTCAGCTGTTGTCATTGTAGGTAATCTTGCAATTGAGCATTTTGGTGACATTGCTTTGTTTTCCTCATGCAGGATCCGTTAGTTCAGTCTCAAATAACCTGCCAAAATGTAGCTTGTGGCAAAGCTGTGTCCAGCATTATTACCTGAACACCATGCGACTTAGTAAAAGAGGACAGTTATCATGTGTGCAAGCAAAGGTCTTCTTTCGCTGTGCCAAATTATCCAAGTATTGTACATAATTGCGTTAAAAATTCAATTGTATTTTTTTACTTGTGTAGTTTCAGAGTCTGTACATTTTACTTGTAATTGTTCATAGAAGATGAATCAGTAATTCAACTTTTTTTTTCCAATGTATTTCTATTTCAGTCCAGCGTGTGAGTACTTTTGCCAGCTCTCGAGGTTTGGGGTTTGAATCTCGGCTCCTGTGTGGAGTTTGCATGTTTTCCCCCTTTTTTTTTGGTGGCTTTTCTCTGATTGCTCTGGCTTCCTCCCTCATCCCAAAAACATGCACAATGAAGATATTGAATCTGCAGTGTTCTCAAACTCAAACAAAGCCGTGTAGTAAACGGGTGCATGCTCCGCACCATGACGTTGTGACAAAGTACAACATTAAAACTTAATCAAGTGTAACTGTGTTCGCTGTATGTCAAAGAAATGAAAGTGAAATGAATCTAAACCCATATTTCTGAAGCAAACTTCTGGTGGTTGCCAATAACAAGCAAATGGCCTTATTTCCTTGCAGAATACAGTAGAACAAAGCCACACTTCTTTTGGTTGCATAATGGCTGCAGGTGCGGCATAAAAATGGAAAAAGGAAATGTTCGTCACAATCACTTCAAGCTGTCAGTGAGGCTAGACAAAGTAATGTCAAAGTTTTCTGCAGTGTCTGTGGTTAGGCACAATTTCCCTCCTCGGTCCATTAGCGAGGCCAATAAGAAAAAAAAAAAAAAAAAAAGAAACGCGAGCGAGAATTGCTGTGACTTTCAGTTTTCCATTTCTGTGACAGAAATTATAGAAAAAAATAGTTATTCAGAATGAAAAGGTAGAGACAGCAGGGTTTTGTGCTTGTGTGTGCGTTGTGAGTGGATAAGGTTTGAATTGATTAGTCAACCAGTCAATAGGTCGACTTCACTACTCCTAATGAATATTTAGTGCTTGAAGTCGACTCATCGCCACAAAAGTGTTTTGGGCATTTCATCTTTCAGTCGGCCAATTCATGGAGGACGGGTTTTAAAGATGGGCACAGTGATGGGGGCTTGCCAATACACCGCAGTGCACATCCTCTCGAAATCAATCTCACGGGTTCGGTCTGCAGATTGTAGAGCATGCGGATAGTGGCATAGATTGGAGTATGGCGATTACAAGATGTCACGGTTTGTTTTGTTTGACGTTGACTCCGAGTTTTTGACTGACACACTGCTGCTGTGTTTTTTTTTCGTTTCGTTTAGAAAGAATATGGATGGCTGACATGTTATTTATCCGGATATGACTTCCCAAAGGGTGAATGTCGAATGCCACGGATAACAGATGTGAATGAGAGTTCCACTGACAGGTGTTGAAGTGCTAATCTTTCTGCCCACACTAGTAGCTGTAGGTGTCCTTGTTTCTGGCAAAAAAAAAAAAAAGCTCGGCGTGATGCTTTTGTTTTCAGCACCCGAGTTGGAAACACAACAGCAAAAGATATGAAGGCTCCAAACTGCCAGAAACTTAAGAGTTGCATAGCAACAGTGACTCTTCTCTTCTTATGCTATTCTCAAACAGACAACAGACAAATAAATAATTGTGGATAATTACAGTGCTAATTGCCTTTTGGTGGTGATTTATGTTCAGCCAGTATGAACATATGAACACACACACATTTTTCCCATTTATCTTTTTCCCCCTCTTAATCCTGTCCTTCCTCTCATCACCCTTTTTTTTTTTTTGGCACTCTACGCTTCTTAATCCAAAGGCTTTTCAGTGGCGAGAACTAATCCATTGCACACTTTCTCGAAATAAAAGATGGAAGGACAATTACAGTGGAGATGAAAAGCCAGAACATCTGAGAGCGCTGGCGATTTTAAAAAAGGAAACCAAACAAGCGAGAATCAGCAGTAAAGTGGAGCTCACAGTGAACGTCTCGTCATTGTCAGACTATTTTTAAATGATTGTATGCAAATCAGAAAAGCCATCACGTGGAAGCAGAAAAGTCAGACAGACCAAAGGATGCACTCACTATTCTGAGCCGTTGTGTCATGACAAAGATATTTATAGAACATCCAAAGAGCCAATTGTGCGATGTGCTTGCAGGCACGTGAATTCTCTGAATTGGTCAATAAATAAATAAAAAGATGGTTTGATAGCGTTTGTATGCTCCAGCGGCAGTTTACATTTTTGAGAAATTGTCTTTCGTGCAGTCATAAAAGTAACGTGCTGTTCAGTAAAAGTGGTTGTTTTTTTTTTCAATGATGCTACTTCTACTTTTATAATGTGACATCTTTTAATTTGTAAACACCATTCTGAGTCAGATACACTGTCAAAGACAATTGTCACTTAATTGTGACTGTTTTTACAGCCACAAATTACAATTTTTAAAAAAAAGGCAGCTGAAACCCAATTTCTTTGTCAAGGAAATATCAAACATGATAGAAGAATAATGGGGGTGGGTGGGGGGTCAATAGAGGTGCACTCCATCATCCTGGATGACACAGCCCAAGAGGACATTAAAAGCTTCTGCCATTTTGGGTTGAGTTAACTGATATTATAAACATGATATTGTTATCGATGAGTAAAATTGACTCTTGTTAAAAGTGTGACTTAGTTGGTCTGCCCAAAGCCAGTTCAAGTACTGTATAACAGAAATTCCCATCCGGCTCAGTGGTACTGTACCTGACTTGGAGTGGAATTTGCCACATCTATGTAATGGCCGATGGACTTAGCCAGGCTTCTACATTATGCTGCACTGTACAGTATATGTTGAATTTACCTGGGGCTTTAAAATGGGGCGGGGCTGCCACTGACAGGTGACCATTCACTTGACGTATTAAAAAAAATTTTAAATAAAAAAAAGGTATCGCAGTTTGGATGGATAGGAAATCACTCACTTCGTCGCCATCATAACCCCAATGGGTAAGCTACGTTTTCCTTTGTCAGATCTGTAGAATTATCTTTTGAGTTTGTATCATGCTTGCTTGCTTTGTTGTTTGCCTGCTTTGCTTTGCGTCCGTGGCGCTTCTTTCTCTTTGCTGCATCGCTTGAACGTTACTTGCTGATCGGAAATGCGACGGGGGAAGTTAAGAGCGGTGTCCATGTTCAGTTCTGTTTTGTTGGAGTGTTGCCACGTCGTGGTTGTCTGGCTGCATTGGAAAAGTTTGAATGACGATTTTGTGTTTCGGCTGGAGTTAGTCATGCCGGCGTTTTACTTCCGGTTGTGATTCCTGGATTTGTAGTCATTTTGTTCGGTTCCACTTGTCTGGTTTCTCATGATGTTTAGACTATGAATCTTGATGATATTATAAATAATGTGTATTACATTTTAAAACTTTACGAGAAATAATAATGACAACGATAATGCATTATACTAAAATGTGATAAAATCATGATTGATAATATTATGGTTGATAAAATTATTGTTAAGATGAAGCTATTGAGTTAGTGAATTCATGTCTATTATTTACATTGTGATACACGAAGATAGGTGCATTAATTTTTGATGTATTCATGCCTGCTTTTAGGTTTTTCTACCTGCGGTGTGCTTCAATAAATAATCAAAGAGTACATGCAGTAGCGAGTGATAATTTCATGCAGTGAAAAAACGGAAATGACTCAAATTTGTGCTCGAATATGCTCCTAACTCCGTCAAAGCTCCACTGATGGGGCATAGCTGAGAGCCCTGCATTCATCCTGTGACCTGCTTAGAAGATGCTCGATCACACCCTCAGTTGCTGCCCAAAAGCACCGGGAGACGATTGTATCATTGGCATCACGGCCACGTTCTGAAGACAGTCGCTGACTTTCTCTCTTCAGCCAAAGCCAAGCAGCAATAGAAACCAGCCAAGCATTTCAGCCCCTTTATCACTAATGATGGGACTGAGTAAACCACAAGATTGATCAAAAAACAGTATTTTCAAAAGTTTGGGAGTTCTTCAACTCATTTTTCAAAAAATAGATGGGTTATACACACACTCGAACCCAAACCGTTGGAACACATGCATTAACATGACAGTGAATCGCATCTGTGATTGTCAAGGTCCATATGTATCAGCAGACAGTCAATTCTTGGAAGCAATTAGCGATAATGGTCTTGTTAATCAGCGCAATCACAACCCACACTCACCTCAGTTATCCTGGATTTATTTTTGTTTAGTATTTCCATCTAGCTCTCTCCCCACCTGGGCATTCAGCATAATGAAAGCTGATGATTACGGGATGTGATCGTTATGAGTGTATGAAAAGGTTAATGGTGGGCAGAGTGATTGGTTGGTTTCTCAGAACC